CCACTTGAAGAAATGGGGGCACAACTTCACGCTGAAGGTTTTTCAGGAGGGCTTAGCTGATCTCTGACTGTTTCTTCCTTATGGGCTGTCTGAGAGTCAGGCTCTGAGAACACCTATTGCAGAAGTAGATGAAGGAGAAATGTGGGACTCAGCTGACCTTACTTGGGCCTCTGACGTTGAGGCGGGGTCACACTTGGGCCTCTGACGCTGAGGCGGGGTCACACTTGGGCCTCTGACGTTGAGGCGGGGTCACACTTGGGCCTCTGACGTTGAGGCGGGGTCACACTTGGGCCTCTGACGTTGAGGCGGGGTCACACTTGGGCCTCTGACGTTGAGGCGGGGTCACACTTGGGCCTCTGACGTTGAGGCGGGGTCACACTTGGGCCTCTGACGTTGAGGCGGGGTCACACTTGGGCCTCTGACGTTGAGGCGGGGTCACACTTGGGCCTCTGACGTTGAGGCGGGGTCACACTTGGGCCTCTGACGTTGAGGCGGGGTCACACTTGGGCCTCTGACGTTGAGGCGGGGTCACACTTGGGCCTCTGACGTTGAGGCGGGGTCACACTTGGGCCTCTGACGTTGAGGCGGGGTCACACTTGGGCCTCTGACGTTGAGGCGGGGTCACACTTGGGCCTCTGACGTTGAGGCGGGGTCACACTTGGGCCTCTGACGTTGAGGCGGGGTCACACTTGGGCCTCTGACGTTGAGGCGGGGTCACACTTGGGCCTCTGACGTTGAGGCGGGGTCACACTTGGGCCTCTGACGTTGAGGCGGGGTCACACTTGGGCCTCTGACGTTGAGGCGGGGTCACACTTGGGCCTCTGACGTTGAGGCGGGGTCACACTTGGGCCTCTGACGTTGAGGCGGGGTCACACTTGGGCCTCTGACGTTGAGGCGGGGTCACACTTGGGCCTCTGACGTTGAGGCGGGGTCACACTTGGGCCTCTGACGTTGAGGCGGGGTCACACTTGGGCCTCTGACGTTGAGGCGGGGTCACACTTGGGCCTCTGACGTTGAGGCGGGGTCACACTTGGGCCTCTGACGTTGAGGCGGGGTCACACTTGGGCCTCTGACGTTGAGGCGGGGTCACACTTGGGCCTCTGACGTTGAGGCGGGGTCACACTTGGGCCTCTGACGTTGAGGCGGGGTCACACTTGGGCCTCTGACGTTGAGGCGGGGTCACACTTGGGCCTCTGACGTTGAGGCGGGGTCACACTTGGGCCTCTGACGTTGAGGCGGGGTCACACTTGGGCCTCTGACGTTGAGGCGGGGTCACACTTGGGCCTCTGACGTTGAGGCGGGGTCACACTTGGAGTTCACACTTGGACCTCTGACGTTGAGGCGGGTTCACACTTGGGCCTCCTGTGGAATCCTTGATAACGGTATCAAACGTGGTTCCAGAGACAACATCCGATGAAGGCCAAGAGCCTCTTTATATATGGCATCAGCGTCCCAGAAGTGTGACCAGAATGCTCTTGCCATCTGTATAGACATCAGACCCACGCTGGACACTAGGCCAGACACGACTACCGAGCCATCACTACGGAAGCACAAGGCTCCGGCCTTACGAAGGGGTCTACCCTGGAGGCGGAGAGATCCTTTCTGAGGGATCTAACCCATTCTGCCAAAGTATGACTAATGAGGGACACAGCCAACACGCGGGGAGGGTGAAGCTTGCCAGAGAAGACTTGCATTGAAGGGATTCCAGCTAGGTGGTCAGTAGAACCCTTAGGGTGGCCACGCCTTCTGCAGGTTTAGAGGTTTCGGTGGTAAGTTGGGTCACCGGAAGACCCACAGTGGGTACAGACGACTGATTAACAAATCCCCTCAAAGGGGAACAATTCCAGCACCCTCAGGTGGGCCCAGGACCCTTCAGGGTCTTTTGGGTTCACATAGCAACTCCAGTGGAAAGGTCTTTGCAGCTGTAGAACCTCTGAAGTAGGTAGATCAGATCCGTCCTCTGCCTTCACCCCCCGGACCAGGGGGACATTTGTCGCTAAGCCTCAATGCCGTACTCTGCAGAGCCCCGAGGCAAAGCCGTGGCCCTGCATGAGGAAATGCTCTGCAGAGAACTTTTATCGGTACATTAAAGTCTGTGGAATCCAGTGCCCGGAGAACACATTCCAGACTCCCCCCCCAACCTCCAGTACATGGGGGGGGGGGGGGGGTCTGGTTATGGCTTAGGAAAGGCTGATCCAGATAGCTGCTATGTAGAGATAAGCTCAGGCCGCCCCATAGTGACGGATCCGAAGTCAACGCAAGAAGAATCCAAAATTAAGGGAAAAAAAGGCAAAACACCGATAAGACTTGGTGAAGAGAAGACTCCCATCCCCCGGCATAACACTGAGGCATGCTGGGTAGGGGAGGAGTCATACTGGGCTGGCCAGGAATGTTTTAATTTGTCAGCATCCAATCCTCCTGTAGGCGGCAAAATAACTTGACAGACTTCCAGTCAATGAAAAAAATATAATTTCTAAAAGGACACACTGACACCCCTCTCAGT